ATTAGGTCGTGTCATGAATTACGAGAAACACAAATAATAATATATCAGAGTCGTCAGATGTAAGTGTACAATACCTTTCGAACAGTTAGTCGATCACAGTGATTACTAGTCACACAAATTCATATGACTAATAATAAAGTGTCAGGAGCGATAAAATGAATTTAAATCAAATAAGAAGAACAAATCGAAGATTGACACGATGATTCGTAAGTCAAATGAGATAGAATGCACCCATTCCCCTCTCAAAAATGGATTTACTTAGCACAAATTAGAGTAATTATAGATTGTTTGTGAAAAGATACATAAATATGAATGGCCTTAACCTCCTATACGCCAAGACATCCACAATCCTTAGGATATCACCAGAACATATCAGATAAATCAGTTTTCAACGATGTTTATTTACACATCCATTTTTATGCCTTTTGTCAATCAGATCTTTTGTCGTCGAAGTTTCTACTTCCACCATAAAAATGAAGAATTTTTTTTATTGGAATCAAGGTCATTCAATGCCCAAACAATGAGTCATACATAGAATGTCGTGAAATAAGCTGAATAATAGATCCAACATCAGCCTGCCTGCCTGCCTGAGCTAGATGAAAATAAGCGAGTGTGTTCTGTCTGTCTATCTATCTATCTATCTCAGTGTTTGTGTGATTTCGCTATGAGCAGGACGCTAAAATCATACAAATACGTAGTTAATACAAATAGAAAAACATCGACTCACACGCTTTCTCAGATTAGATACTCACTTAAAAAAAGTGTAGATATAATTCAGTCGAAAATGTCTAGAAATCATGCATAAGATATAGCTTAGAATTGTAAGTAATTCAGAAAACCCTCTTAATAAAGTAGTTGCTTAGTTAGTATCTTTCCCTTCCTCACGGAGCTCGAAATAGCTGTGAAAATCCACATATCTCTCAAAGTCAGGTTTACCATCATTGTCAGAGAGTATTCATGAAGAGAATAAAAAGAAAGAATTAGTTGCCATCATGAACTATGAATAGACAGTTTATAACAAGACAATTTGTCAGAGTTATTCAATGCATTTGTACAACACATTTCGAATAGTTGATCACCAAACAATGGATATAGATATGTGTGTCGGTGGCACAGTGGTTAGGACTCTCGCCGACCATACACATGGTCCGAGGTTCGATCCCTCGCTGACGCACACCTGATATCTATGGTCGGCCTGCAAAATTTGGGCTACCGATATCCATGCTGAAAATTCCATTCTTGTACCAAAAATACAGTGTGGAATCAAGCTGTAATAAAAAAAAATAAAGTAAATACTAACAACTATTCATCACATACACTTATCAAGTAAGTTACACCTACGATGTAAAGATTGATGAGACACTATGTGACTGCTTGAATCACGTTATAATTCGTAAGGATTTCGAAGGTATAATCTACAGATTAAAAGCTTAGGTACCATGATCGGAGAGTTGCACGTTTACTAAAGGAAATGAAAAAAAATGTCCTATGGATATGTATTATATTCTATGACCAGGCCAAAAAAAACAGTGTGACGTTCATGATTTTCTGCACACATAATTCAATATTTATATAAGTGTTGGTTTGTAGAGATTTGGTTGGTGACAGGATTTCATCATGAGCTGACATTGGTTAGAGAACCAGGTTTTCCAATGGCTCTCTAGCTAATGTCAGCTCATGATGAAATCCTGTAATCAACCGAATCCATACAAACCAACACTTAAATATCGATGAGATGGTCACTAGCGACTTGCCCTATTCAGGTAGATCGTTACCTGGGGTTCTAGTGAGAAGTCGTGACCAGTAGGGTGCAGCAGGTTATATTCGTTAACCAGACATCAAGTGTGTGATTTTGGTTTGCATAAAAAGACATAAAATCGAATGTTCAAATAGATATATTGCATGGAGTATTGTGAGAATATGTGAGCATAATGTTCCGTTGGCAGACTTTGTCTGTATCACACCACCACAACACTACATTTAGTTCCCTTTCAAAATCGAATTACCTGAGGAAATTTCATTGTGATGTAAAGTTGTTTGTGAAAATTTAAAATTGTTGCGAACGTGATCCCAAAACATCATGTGATTGAGTTTGAATGTCTATTCATCCATTATATGCCCGTTATCCATCACATGCTTCGTCACTGACGGGCTTAGACATATTACCAACATCAATAGGTTTCGGGGGATTGCTATTGTCTTCGAACTTCAGTCCTTACCTAGACATCAGTCGGATATAATTATCAAAGTAAGGCAGGATGATAATGGTATCTGCCGCCTTTACAGCCAGCTGGCATGTAGGTCTCCCTTGATTCTGATCAATTGATATATATAGGTTTTTTGATTATAGCTTGAATTCACACCGTAGTTTTGATATAAGTAAGTAATTTTCAGCATGTGATATCTGTAGCCCAAATTTTGCAGGCCGACCATTGATATCGAGTGTGCGTCGGCAGGGGGTCGAACGCGGGACGTGTGCATGGTCGGCGAGAGTCCTAACCACAGTGCCACCGACGCACAAATGAAATTCACTAGGTAGCTGTTTTCAGTCAACACCTCAGCTAAAAATCCTCTCTTACATTATAGCATGCCGACCACGCATATTGACTGAATTGGATCATGGAAGCACCTCAGATGGAATACCCTGCATCCGGAAACTTAGTAACTCGCCTACTGTCTATTGCATTTATTTCCTCCATAAATAAATCGTTTTAATGAATCATTTGGCAGTTGACTAATAAATAAAGAGACAATTATCGCACTCACCTACCAATGTGCTTGATGTGCTGATTTGCACACAGTTCATTCCATTTGAAAAGGAACTAACGTAAGCAAGATGATAAGGGCAAACTTAAACTTTAAGCACCACAAACTAGCAATCAGCAAATGACTTTGAACGCACCAGTCACATGAAAAAGGCATTTTTGGTTATGGAAAATATATGTGAAAAAAATATTACATAGAATACCCTTCTCTGAAATGTAGTAACAACATCTCCCAGTTTAGCATAGGAGTATCAACTGAAATTTACACCATTCTCCATACATATGTTCTTCTAAATGACTATCAGTGACATCCTTTCGAGTTCGATTAATGTCCCTAATTCTGTTTTGAAATTTCCCCAAAACCCTTCTATAGAACTGATGTGTAACCCTTAAATGGAATCCACAAAATCACTAGAATGGTTCACTCTGTGGTGAATGTATCCAGGCGATGACTGGTAGATATTACCTTTCCAGTCATCCATGTGCACGATGACACGTCCTCCTAACAACGAAGTAATTCTCTCAATTTTCCATGACGTGATATCCCTGCAGTGCTGGCACCACTGAACTGTTGGTAGGAGATTATTTTCTCTGTTTCAGCAGCTACACCTATCACAGGCTGTTTCAAAACCCAGGAACTACAAATATACAAAATCTTAGTTAAGGACAAGTGGGAACTAAAAAACATGTTCCAATGAAATAATAAAATCACCAGCTTATACCTTCTGACATTAGACTCAAATCAAGCGGAGAAGCTACAAATCACGCGGATAAAATTCACCCGGCCAACCAAGGTCAAACACTAACGCAACCTCGAGAAGTGTGTGCTCCACACTGCGAGCGAAATCTGCAAAATTCACTCTCACAATCTCAATTACATTAGGATTATCAGGAAATTCTTCCGTAAGAATCGATATACCCATCAGCTCATTGGAAAAATCTGAATTTAGCATAAATACTAGTCAGTACGAAAACAGCTCCACAGAAGTCTATGTTAATGCAACTGCAGTTAAAACAACATCCAATGTACCAAAAGTAGATTATTCCTTCATCCACCCCCATTTCAAGCTCGAAATATAACGATAATTACCCCTCCTCTGTGTGAGTGTAGCAAAACCATTCGTAATGCTCACGCGGTGCTACTAACGTCCGCCAAACAATCACTCAGGCACATCACCATATTCCCCAGCATCATCCCTCAAGGCTAACAAAACGACAAAGCAAGCTCCATTCCTAGATCTCTCACAGAACACCTTAGAGATAGTCAGCACTAAGCTAGTGTTAACTCAGCATTTAAGGCTATTTATTGCATTCCCAGTAATATTAATTCTCTTCTACGAGTTCCTCTTCTACACAAAGCTGGAGCCATCAAAATCCACCTGTGAAAGCTGAATTTATGAGTGCACAAGAAAATACCTCCAGCCACTCCCCACACAATCACCTTTTTATTCTATTATACCTTGATTGCACACGCTGTTTCGATACAAGCATGGAATTTCCAGTCAATTCCTTATTACTCACTCACAGATTTCTTAACTATTCCTTTTCTCACTTAAGGGAATATTAACACTCACAAGATATTCTCCTCACACAGAAAACACCCTATTTACACCCTGTGCGAAAATCAACAGCATCATCAGACGTGATGCATCACTTACTCAGTCGAAATCTCACCTCTCAAACCATGCTCTACAATGCCTCATCCCCCACCTTTTTCACAGCCACTGTGAAACACATATAATATATTTTCAATGATAGATTAGGAAGGAATGATTATCACTGGGTTACAACCACACCAACTGCTACAAGACATTCACTTATGTCAGATCAGACTCAATCAAGTCCTATCCATCCACGAGACAAAACCTCATTGTTAGTCTCGTAATAATCACTTCACATGACCCAAATCAATTCGCCTGGATAGCCCAATGCAATACAGCAAAATAGGACAAAGCAAAAGAAGCTAGAATAGAATTGGCACGTAAGGTTCAGGCTGGATTATCACTACTGCTATTACTATAATAATTCCCTTCCCCTTACTGCCCAATCACAAACGCGCATTGACCAATGACCTAGGCCAACAAAAATAAAGCTGAATTGACTAATCACTACACAGAAATAAATAAAGTATCATCAACCAATCAGACGCAGGGTAATTTTCTAGGGTCTTAATTGGTTAAATGTGTTAGAAAATAATATATATACTTTCGTGCAAGTTTTATCCCCTTGTACACGTTTCTCTGCTCTAACGATACAATCATGAGTGGTCGCGGCAAAGGTGGGAAGTCTCGTGCGAAGGCAAAGACCCGATCTGCTCGCGCTGGCCTTCAGTTCCCAGTGGGTCGTGTTCATCGTCTTCTGCGCAAGGGGAACTACGCTGAACGTGTCGGTGCTGGGGCTCCAGTCTATTTGGCAGCTGTTCTTGAATACTTGGCCGCCGAAGTTCTCGAATTGGCTGGCAATGCCGCGCGCGACAACAAGAAGACCCGTATCATCCCTCGTCACTTGCAATTGGCCATCCGCAATGACGAGGAGTTGAACAAACTGCTCGGTGGTGTAACCATCGCCCAGGGTGGTGTCCTACCTAATATCCAGGCTGTGCTGCTGCCCAAGAAGACCGACAAAGTCAAGGCTTAAGACCGGTGTGTGTGTGTGGCTTGGGAGCCAGAGAACGTGAAACCGGCCCTTTTTAGGGCCACTACATGTTGATCTCAGTATTGTCTTTTTGTTTCTTTGTTATTCTTTGGTTGTTGTATTTGTGGGTTGAGGGTTTCCGAGGTTGTACTTGCGTTAGATGTTGGAGCGTGACAAGTTGACGACCGCACAATGGTTAGGCATGGAGTACGGTGAAGCCAGGCGTTATGGATGCGATACGCATGGGTACTAGCTAGAACCTTGTTTCCTTCTAACGCAATAGTGTGAGGATGGAGGTTAGGAAACCTTATGGTGTATTTAAGAGAAGTGTTGCACAGTCTCAGTTTGATTATTCAGCGGTTTTAAATAATAATAATAATAGTAAATAATTCGATGATGAGCGGTAGCTAATTTGCTTCAGTGGATGAATGGGTGGATTCCGCTGTTAGGCACGACGAGGATTTAAAACCTTGTCTATTCTCGTATTGAAACGCCGTCAGCATTGTTATTAGAGCTGAATTCAATGCAATGCAGGAATTCATTGCCTCAATTTGACATATGGAAGCCGAATTATAAGATTTGTAGTCTCCACCGTCCTGTGTGATTGATTGGGGTACGCCGATTCAAGTAAGACACTATGAACAGGAGTGTGGAGTAGTTGTTCATATGCCCAAACTTGTAATGGTGATGTGTAGCACCAGTAAAGTATAATTATGTTCCAATGCTCGTGTCATTGGTAATATTTCGGGCAGGATTACTTTCCTCCCCCCCCCCGTGTTCACAATAAAACAGTTCCAACAGTGGTGTGACACGGGCAGAAATTTAGCTTGAGATATTACCGAAACTGTTGAAACATGATAATTAATCCCATTTATTCCGCATGACACTGACATTAGTTGTACAGCACTGCCTGGTTTTCAGTGTTCTAACTGGTCAAACTCGTTTGAACAAAAGTTATTAATACCAGTCTTATAAATGCCCGGATTGTGTGGAAAATCAAGTTTTACAGAATGATCGTTTGTAATAGACGAAAGCGCATTCAGATATTTGTAGTGGGATCCAATTGCCTAGATTCAATGCTGTTTCCAGTCTGCAGTGTGCTAAGAGAATTCTTATGCATGAAGGAGGCGTTTAACAGTCCAGATCAGTGGCGTTATTCATCTAGTTATACTGCCAGTCGTAGTACTAATGAGACATAAAATACTCAACCGATTAAAGGAAGAAAACTTATTTTGTTAAGGAAAGACTTACATCCATGTACTGGCCGTTGACGGATGCCTTCGCGGCCTGAATAGGGTGGCGTTTGCCGCATATCGGTTATTTCACTTATCAGTGTTTAGATGTTAAGGTATTTGTGTGCACTTTCACAACCAACGGATTCCCGGTCAAGATGTTAACTGATTTTGAAAGTCACAAAGGTATGGAAACTGAGGTTAGGACATATAGCGACTTGAATGTGGATATGATATAATCGTTATTAATTTTCCATGAATACTCTGTGTCTCATAACCTGCATTATTAATGTTCACAATATACTGATGATTGATGGAACAACGATAACCGTAATGGAATAGACATTAAAAACCGGTTAGGAGCTGACCGATTTTATTAGACCAAAGCGATAACGAAGAAGCATATTTTATGAATTCAAAGTGATTTACTGGTTAAAGATTTCTAATGTGCGAATGCACCCGACCTTATCAACATAATGACCGACAAATTTTGTTGAATATGTTAAAGGAAACAGTAAATTACACTATTTGTTGTAGTAATGGGACCAATATTTGCTCAAGTGGAGAGCGCTATCGAATTCGGCAGTATGTTTCTCGTACGACGTACTATGCACATTCCTAGAAAGGCATTGGAAAACTTTTTCAAAACATGTTTCCACTTGAATTCTTCGGACTAATATGTCGATTGCAAACACAGGTGAGAGGCTATATCGGAAAATAAAATAAAAGTATTTGAAGTATGTTGAAATAACTCTACGTAGCCGAAGGGATTGAAAAATAATTCGGTAACAATTCTGTTTTCTAAATGCCTAAATGGGGATTTTTTCTTCATTGAATTCGTTTAATGCCTGAAACCTAATAATTTTCAGGTTCGTTCAACTTTGAAATTCTCTCGTTTTGTTGATATTTCAACATGTATCTCTTATTCATCAATAGTCACTTCATTCTATATAAAGATGACCTATTGACTAACATTTATGATTGAACTATTGTGTTTCCATTGTCCCATTTAGACATCTGAGTGGTGAAGTACATATAGACTTGTAACATGAACCGATATCATTCAGAGGATCTTTGATGCTGGTAAAATAGTCCCAATCCAGTCGTTAGATCGTTAAAGAATATATATCGCTCCAATTGAGCAAGTAAATTGGTAGATACAAACAGAAACGGTCAGATGCGACAGTTCATCTTTGGAGTTGTTGGAGAAACTATCGGATTTGACCATTTCTATGTGTATCTAGCAATTTACTTGCTCGTGTGGAGTGGGATATATAGAAGTCGTTCGATGCATGTTTTATTCAAAAGAGTCAAAGGACAATATGCCGCTTAGCTACGAAAAGGTAACAATGGATCAATAAGGATGTGCTGTAATCAATCATACTGATCACTCAATATGCACAGAGAATTCATTCAAAGTCATCTACAAAGTCAAAAAAAGCCTCCCGAAAGCGGTAAGCTATCGCATACTTTGCATTGCCAAGGAGGCCTTAGCAATTCGGATGAAAAATTGTGATTTATGTACACAGAAGAAACTTCTTCATTCTCTACTTCTACTTTGGGTATAATTCCAAGTTCAACTATTTGTGCATTTTTCGTGTGACAATCTAGTGACGCCTTTTTCCTAACTAACCTGTTTATTTTGAACATGTGTCTCCATTAACATCCTATTTCATAGTACGTAACCCCTGTCAATACTTACCAATCTTCACCCCCTTCCCCCGAGTTACAGTTTTGATTGTTCATAACATTTATGGATAATTTTGATGAAGTAAACAATAACCCTAATTTTTAATTTTGTTTGACAATCCAAATGTGTAATGTACTGGTAATTATTTGTGTTTTGAAGCGTAAATTTACCGTAATTACCAACTGTTCTAAACACCGGTCATCACTGATTACGGATGTACATACATATATATATATATATATATATATATAGGCACAATATCTCATATCTTGTGCCAGGGCTGAGATAGCGCCTGGACCGAAGCAAGTGGTTATCTTAAGGGGCTTTCCCCCGCTCGAGCCTTTTACTTGAAGTCTGATCCACAAGGCAGTGGCGCAGCGTCAGGAGCTACGTTTCTATGGATGCTAATGACCAAAATAGGTTTATACGCTATTCAGTTTGTTCGGATTTTAGAGCCCATGTACACCACTTGCTTGGAAATAGGGGTTTTCTAACTCCCTAGGCAGATTAGTCTGTCAACCAGTTCGGTTGTGTTGTAAGTTTGTATTATACGGTTCACTTTTGGAGTACGTAACAATGTGATTGTACACTTTTTGGTTACTTGTATAAATTCGAGATATTGTACATAATTTTTGTTTAAAACGCTTCTTGTTGAAATATACATAACTTCCGTGTACAATTGAAAAATACACTCTGCTGTTGGAGACTTCGTCTTCTCCCTGGTCACTTCTGCTTACTTGCTCCACTCACACCGTGTTGTATACTTCGGATTTATTGTAGGAGCCTACTACTCTCAACCGAAGACATTTCTACAACCGGAACACAGCAGACGCAGTCCAAACAATTAACGTGCCCGTGGATTATATAATTAATTTGTAGCCGAGGACTTAGACTTTATATCCAAGTAATCCTTTTTGTTGCTATAACTCGTCACTGTATTTTTGGTAATATATTGTGATTTAACACTCCATTGACTTGGATTATTACTTTTATACTTGGAATGTTAGTGAACTCTAATATTAGTCCCCTACAAATTAATTGGTGAGCCCGATAAGAACACGGATTATTTTGGCATATTCATATTCTTATTTTTGCTATTTTGTATATTCATTGTGATTTTGTGTGTGGTTTATATTTGTATCCTAATGTGCACCAATAACCTCATATTTATAATGTCATCACCTCAGTCCGGTACATCAAACGAGCAGACAACTAATAGCGAGACAAATGCCACAATAAATGCCATCACTGATTTTCGTTTACCCCAATACGGTTTCGCAGAACCAAGGATTTGGTTTGCGGTAATTGGACCGTTGCTAGAAGCACGGGGCATTAAGTCCCAAATAGCCAAATATGGTATGGTGCTGGCAGAACTCCCTCCGTCAGTATTGACAGAAATCAGCTATTTCATCGAAGATCCTCCGACGGAACATCAATTTGATAAACTTAAAGCCCTCCTCATACAACGTACCAGTCTGTCGGATGAGAAAAGTATCCAACAATTGAATCACAAATCAGTAAACCGGCTCGCTACGTTCATTTTGAGGACTAACAAAAGAAAAATAATTAAAAATTATTATTATCTTTTTCGTTAAGACATTATCATCATGATCGTTAGTATTTCGTCGTAAACTTTGATGTTACTATCACTATTATTTATTTATATGTACCTCACCTACGAAACAGGTATCGTCCATTTCAGAAACTTGATCTTTAATCCATATATTTTTTTAAAATGTTTCTTTCCCCTCCTTAATTACTGTGTATTTACATATTTTTCTTTATACATTCATGGTTAGTGCAAATTTAAATGACATGACTTTCTATTTCAATTTTTATTGCTGAACTCATTGCATATGCTTTCAGACTTTACATGATTCACATACCTTCTCGCGTTTATGCATGTTGTAATATATCCCTATTTTTAACCAAAATTTGCTATTACTATTATTATTTACTTCATAGTTTTACTTATCATTTTCCGGTTGTCTCTCCGGACCTCTAGGGAGGAAAAAGGGCAATCTGCTGGTCTTTCAATACTGATATTATAGACAGAATAGCTGGAGATAATTCCATGGATCTTTAGATGGGTGTTGTTATCAATCAGTTTTTTATTGTTGACGTCAACTAACAGGTTGAAATTACTCAAGAAATCTGCTCCGAGGATGGCGTGACTGACGTCGGCTACTATGAAAATCCATGTGAAACGCCGACGTAAACCTAGATCCAGTATGAGGGATTGCTCTCCATACGTCTGTATGCTTGTGTGGTTAGCTGCCCGGAGAGACAGTTTTCCGGGTGTCCGTGTAGATCGCCTGGATAGTGAAGGAGGGATTACGCTAACTTCTGCTCCCGTGTCTACCAGGAATAAAGTGTCTGAAGTTTTATCCTTCACATAGAAGAGGCGACTTGTTTGCTTGCCAGTAACAGCTGTCGCCATCACTGTCTGGCTGAGGCGTTTCCCTGAGCCTGGTTGGCTTCGCTAAAGCTGCACGGTTTTACACATTTCAGGGCATGACGTCCAAACTTCCAGTGATACCAGCATATATTGCTATCCCGAGAAG